ATCTTCAGCGATTTTCCGCCACAGCTCCGCCAACTTGGGCTGCCGCTCGATATCGTACACGTGGAGGCTGGAGATGCCGAGCGCCTCGAGTGCAGCCTTGAGGCTCAGCGTGCCCGTGCGTGGCAGACCGACAGCTATCACCTCGAGGCCTCGCCAATCTGAGTCGTTTTGGCTTTCATTTGTGGTGCTTTCAGAGATGCCAGGCTTCCTGTCCTGGGTCTTCGGGCTGGAGATGCGAGGCATCGTGAGTGCGAGCCATTTGCAAGCTTGGCTGAAGATCTGAGCTTGCGGGGAGAAGGGAAGAGGGCCAGCGACCTGCCGCAATGGATGCAGCAGTGTTGGACAGCCCCGAGCTCCTGCTGCCGATCTATGACCAGCTCACACGCCCCGAGAAGACGGCCTTCACTCTCGTCAGGCCCATATGGTCCCGCGTGCCACTCCTCAAGGCCTCAGCACTCAATCTGCCCGTCAAGTGCGACCGGCACCCATCGCCCCTGCTGCAGCAGATTTTAAGCAAGTGCCATCGAGTGGCGCTGTTGAACTTCCGCATGAATGACCGACGGACGCGCATCAAGTGCGAGCAGCAGGTGGAGACTGTCGTGGAGAGCTTCCCTCGACTGCTCGACAACAATGGAGATGGGTCATCTTGGTCGCTCGACATGGCTGGGTACGACCCTTGGACGGTCATCCGTGAGTCGCCGTGGGCGCAGTCGACTTTCGGGTCGTTTGTGCTGGACCCTGATGAGAGGGTGTACCCTGCTGTGGCGACGGCGGTGCTTCGGGCGGTCATCATTGGCAGCGATGTGGGCAGGCAGCTCCAGTCGGTGACCATCAGCCACTTCGTCCAGGTGAGAGAGGCGAAACGCTCAGGCAACGAGGGAGGAGTGTTCTCATTACCTTTGTCCTTTTTTGTGGCCACAGGTGTCGCCGGATCTGACGACCTACTTCAATCCCTCGCGAACCCCTTCGCTCCAGCAGCTGGAGATCAGTCGCTGCTCCATGCCCTACGTTTGCCAGTCGTCATCCGTCCCCCCGTCCCCTACCCCCTTCGGCCTCAAGACGTTCATCTGGCGGAAGAACCTGGTCTCCGGCGAGAGCCTGTCACTCCCCACCTTCGTTCCAGTGCTGTGGTCGTGTTCTTCGCTCCAGTGCCTGCATCTCCTCAACGTGGACATATCGCTGCAGAGGAACAACGAGTGTTGCCTTCTCACGCAGCTGCCGCTCCTCGAGGAGCTAGCACTGGAGACGGGGTCGAGAGAGCTCGATTTGGCCATGCTCTTGCGGGCGATATTCCGCACCCAGCGACTTGCAGCGGGCGATGCAGCTGAGGCGAGCACCGCCGCGGCGGGCCCTTCCGGCTCGTCGAAGTGTGTGAGAGGGTCGTTCCCCTTCCCTCGGCTACACACGCTCTTCCTGAGCCACTTCTACTTCCGACCAATCGATGCCCTGGACATCCTCCGCTCCACTCACAAGACCGTCTCGCCCACTGCCAGGCGCTCGGCTGCCGTGCAGTACCAGAGTCACGCAGCGCTGCACACACTCGGCCTCTCTCGCGCACGTATCGGCGACGGCGGATTTGTGGCATTGGCCAACATGTTTCCGGCCGTGAAGGAGCTGCTGCTGGACCTGCAAGTGGGTGGCGGAGTGGGCGGATGTGGCACGGCGGGTATGGATGTTGCGGCGGATGGGGAGCTGGAGGACCTGCTGTCTGCTGACCTGGACCTGCAGGGCGACACGGCCATGAACGGCAGAAGGAGACTGGTAAGGCATTTACCCACACACGAATGCGTGTCACATCTGATTCGTATGCCATTTGTGTCTGTCTACCTGATTGCCTGTTGCTTGCAGTACTGGTCCGAGAGCTGGAAGGTGTCGCTGCGTCGCCTCTACCTGTCCCAGCCGTGTGCCAACTTCATCAACCTGCATGAGGCGACTGACAGCCACGACCCCCCGTCACCAGTCCCTCTCGACAAGAAGAAAGACCCCAAGCCGACCGACAAGGACCCGCTGCCCAGCCGTCGCTTCTGGACATCCCCATGGCTGGCTCCGCCGTCAATGCTCGAGTCGATGCACGTCTTGGGCCCTCAGCTGCGCAGCTTTGCCACGAGTCATCGATCGGTCCAGGGCCTCTTCACCCCGCTGCAGCCAGCGACGCGGGGGCGTCTTCTTCGCACCCCTGTGCTGACGGTCCCCTGCATGCTAAGATGGATGGACCTCCGCGGTGCCCCAGTGACAGACGGGCATGCAGTGCGACACATCGCCTTGCCTCCGTCACTGCAACTGCTGCAAGTGCGGCTGGAGGGCTTTGCGGCAATCGACGGGCTTGCTGGTGCCCTGAAGGATCGAGCGCGCGCGGCGATGACGGATGAAGATGCCGTGAGGAGCGTCTTGAGTGTGGAGATTTGGGTCGACATGTCCCTTCCTGACTTTTTGACGGAAGGCGAGCAGTCGGCCAGGTCGATGGCAACACCTCAGCTGGCGCCCACGACACCGGCATCACGCCCAGCAGCGAAGCTCCGCTTTGTCGGCTGGGGGGAGTGGACTCGTCCTTCGCCGTCAAGTGACGAGATGCCCTCTTCTTCGTCGAGCGACCCGCCGGTGGACCCTCGGCATGCAGCTGAGTCGTCGATAGATGGCCTCTTGACGCTGTCAGCCGTCCGCAGGATCATGGCCGCCCTTGTCCCCTCGACTGCTGACCAGCCGCAGGAGGCCCCAAAAGACGAGGAGGCCACAAAAGACGAGCCATCGACGGACAAGGAAGGTGCAGGGGTGCGTGTCGACTTGCAGCAGTGGTGGAGGGAGGCTGACTATGTGTCCTTGTCGAGTGCGAATGATTGGCTGGAGAGGGCGACGGTGGGCAGCCATGGGGACGTAGTGGAGAGCCGTAGAGTCGTGGTGGTGGTCGTACCGTAGGGCTCTATGCACTACTTGACTAGCTGGGGGACGGTGTGCGTGGTTTGGCCGTGTTGGTGATAGTTGACCGGGTGAGAGAGGCTCACCCACACCCAACGACATCAAGACGCTGGAAAGGCGTGGTTGGATCTACTGCCTAAGGAGAGGTTCATGGCCGCGTATGTGGAGTATTGCTGCTATGGAGCACCTCGTGTAGTCTGGTGGGTGGCGTGTCACACGTGTGCGTAGAGAGAACAAGATTGACTCAGAGCTGTTGCTTCTTGGTCAATGTGTCGATGTCTCGTTTCATCTCCACTGATCGATGAGAATCCGAGTCACATGCCAACTGATATAAACTGTAGGCAACGATACCAAAATGAGATCGCTGCGACACACAACATCCTCGTGTGTGAGCTGATGGTGGCGGTGGACGTGCAGCATGGAGAGCGTGATGTTGACTGACAGCGTGATGTTGACATACCCACACACACACACATTGTGCGTCTCCCGTATGTGTGTGTATGTGTCATGTTGCTCACCGGCAGCTCTCTCGTGCCCTCGACATCGTGTTCTTCTCAATGTCGATATCGTCGAAGTGCATCTGCAAATCGAAAAGACCCACACAGCGAAACAAGTCCCTTGTGTGTGTGCAGATGAACCTTTGCAAGAAATGCACTTGGTTGGTCCGTAGTCGTCTTCCTGGGGTCCGTAGTCGTCGTGCAGCTTGGCCAACTGCACATACGTCTCTCGGGGGCCGCCGGGCGTTAGCACACAGACGAAAAGAGACACGATGAAATGCCTACAGCGTCTTCCTTTCTCCCTCACTTTCGTACCTGCCGGGCCGCCGGGCGCAGACGCGGATGAAGTAGGCGCCTCGCAGGCGTATAAGTCCGCAGATATGAGATGCAGCCAGGGACCCTTCTGCACACAGAGAGGAGACACGTACACGCGAGTTGATCAGTATAGCATATTTCAACAGCTCACCTTCGACGTGAAAACGGCTACACGATGCACTGGGATTCAAGTCGTCATCGGCCTCGATCGAATATAGAATGTAGCCAGCGATCTGCACACCACCCAGCCAGAGAGAGACGCAGGCAGAAATGAGCGTTTATTATCTTGCTTCCTCCATCCATATATACCTTCTTCTGTCAAGCTTGCTCGTCGACCTTGTCGATCATCCTCCTGCCCTCGTCCAGCCCCGCCTGCCGCCTCGCAGCAGCAGAGACGAGTGGTGGGCGCGGTAGGCCATGATGAAGGCCTTGATGAGCTGCTGGAGCTCCCTGCGGATGCCCTCGTGCGCTTCCCTGGTCTTGCCTTGGTGGCGGAAGAGGATTCTGTACAGGTCGTTGTCTTCGACGTAGTCGTAAAGCGGCACCCACTGGCCCTCTGCACAGACAAAAAAAAGGAAAATAGCCAACATCCCTCCCTCCCTCCCTCCCCCTCTCTCTCTCCTGCTCACTCGGCAGCTCCTCCATGCAGACGACGAGGCACTTTCTCATGCTCGGGCCCTCATACAGGCACGCGGGCTTCAGACGGTCGGTGGTCGTCCCCTCCTCGAGCAGTCGGACGAATGGCGGGTGCTTCATCCCCTCGACGGCCTCCTGCACCATCGCCAGCCGCTCCCTCTCTATGTTGGCCATCAGGACAGTCTCCTCCGGGGACGGCAGTAGGAAGGTCTTGGCGGCAACGGGGCGCCCGTCAAGGCGGACTTGGTATGTGGTGGCGAACTTGCCCTCACCCAGAATGCCCATGATTGGCATGACCGGGCCTAGCAGCTGCAGGTGGGTCCGAGCTCATGTTCTCGCTCACACAGGCTGGGGCGGGGGCGGCACTGGCGGCGGCGGCGTGGGTTGGCTCGTCCTCCTCAGAATCGGCGGCTAGCTCCTCGCCTTCGGCCACTGGCAACATCCGCCGCGTGCGGTCCGCCTTGGCCTTCTTCTTGGCCGTGATGTCGTCCTGGCGGATGATGGTGACCTCGACCCTGCTGAAGTGGGCGAGAGATGGCATCCACCAGGTGCACGTGCTGTGGCGGAAGCCGCCGACCCGCTCGCCCCGCATGCCGCCATCGAGCAGCACGGTGCCTTCGGCGACGTAGCCGTCAGGCACCGTGACGCTGGCCCCCGCATCGACGAACTTGAGTGCGCCACGCAGGAACGGGGGCTGGTCGCGGCGGTCGAAGATCACGCGCTGGGGCATGCCATCAGGACCTCGGGTGTACCTGTAGGAACACACAACGACACAGGGAGACACACATGAGCGACGGGCACCCCTCCCTCAATCTGTGTGTCGTCTGTCTGGTGTCCGACTTACTTGATGAACGAGTCCGGCACGTTGTAGTACTGCAGCTCGACCTGCTCGGCAGTCGGCACATTGCCTAAGTGCGGCTGGAAGGCCACCGGCGCGTCACTGACGGTCAGGTTGCCCAGGGACACGCCCAGCCCCCCTCCGAGCAGCCAGAAGTCGTTGGCGTCGACGGTGGCGTACTCGAAATAGGGAAACTCCAGGCCGTAACGCCACACGCGCTGGTGCATGATGAGGTTGTGCGGTCGGATGCGAATGCCGTCCACAATCAGCGTGTCGGCATACGGCAGCAGAGACATGATCTTGGTGGGTGCCGTGACATCCACTGCCGGCGGAGCACCATCCCCCCTCTTGCGCACATTGATCTGTACGGACGCAGCGATAAACTGGTCAACAATTCTCGCCGCAATTCTCGCCGCAATTCTCGCCGCAAGCTCAAATTCAGCCTAGGGTGCTCCCTGAAACCGCTGCTCCCCTCGCATCTCCAGCCCGAAGACCCAGGAGAGGAAGCCTGGCATCTCTGAAAGCACCCCAAATGAAAGCCAAAACGACTCAGATTGGCGAGGCCTCGAGGTGATAGCTGTCGGTCTGCCACGCACGGGCACGCTGAGCCTCAAGGCTGCACTCGAGGCGCTCGGCATCTCCAGCCTCCACGTGTACGATATCGAGCGGCAGCCCAAGTTGGCGGAGCTGTGGCGGAAAATCGCTGAAGATGGGGTGAGGGAAGGGAGGCTGCATTCCATGAAAACCACTCAGGCACCGTCAGCTCTGTGCTGTCCGCTTCGTTTGTGCGAGCAGGTTGCCTCTCCCGAGTCCATTCATGCGGTCGATTGGGATGGCGTCTTCCGTGGTGGGTGCATGGGCCCGTGGCTGGCTCGTGCGGGTGTGTTCGGATGAGTCGATTCCTGTTTTCCTTCAGGCTACAGAGCTGCCGTCGGGTACCCCGCTGCCCTCTACTACAAAGAGCTGCTGAGGAAATACCCTGGCGCGAGGGTGGGTGAGGCATACGATGGGTGGATGGCAATGCACGGGCACAGTCATGACACGAGTGTGTGTGTTGCGCCTGTCCAGGTGATAGTGACCACACGCGGCCTCGATGGATGGTTTGAGTCGGCTGAGAGGACAGTCTTCCGCTTGCCGTCGGTCCTGCTGTCCTTCCCTGCCTACCTCAGCACACTCGTGTTCCACCAACATGCCCTAGTCTCCATGCACCTGGCCCTGGACAAGGCCCGCAAGGTCAGCCAGCAGGGAGAAGAGCCTGGTGGGATGGTCTGCAGACGGTTATGAATCCACCCCCCTCTGTGTGTGTGTGTGTGTGTGTGTGTGTATGGTGGTAGTGGTTTGAGGGCGACCGTCGTCGCGGCATCATCGACCGCGAGAAGACCATCGAGCGGCACAGGGGCCACCTCGACTCCATCATACAGCACATCAACCCTCGCAGAGCCATTCTATTCTACCAGGTCACCGACACACACACGTGTGGGCAGTTAGTTACCCCACACATCCATCCATCCGTCCTCACTTTCACCTCCCTGATACAGATCGAACAAGGCTGGGGCCCGCTGTGCAAGTTTCTGATGTGTGAGCAGCCCGACCAGCCCTTCCCTAGGGTCGGCAGCCATGACGAATACGCCCAGCAGCTGCTGATGGCCCAGCTGCTGGGCTGGGCCATCCTCGCCTGTGCGGGTGCAACCACAATGCTGGTGGCGTCAACACTCATGCGGGGCGGCAAGAGCAAGTAGCGTCGGGAAGCCGTTTTTTGCGGTCCATTCGGGTCAAATGTTCGAAAGATATGGAGAGATCAGTGTACATACATACTCTTAGAGGGGCACCAGCAGGGGTGGGTGCTGAGGGAGGCCAGCGTCCTGCGGGGGCTTTTTGCTGCCAAGCCAGAGTGTTGAGAACGTGTGTGTGTGTGTGCCTCCGTACGTGCGCATGTGGCGGACTCTGTGCGCCCCCCCACGACCAGGCAAGGTCTGTGCGAAAAGCTGGACTTAAATACAGAATGTTCCCATCGTCCATCGAGAAACACATATAGATAGTACCCCTAAAACCAGCTCATCAGAAACGCAGACGAGAAATCATCAAGTAACGAGAGAAACCCAAGACACACAAGGCAAGGAGCCCAACACCGTCTGCCGACACACACACCCACAAGGGTAGGCATCTACCGCCTCCACGCATGCATCATGCGGTCACTTGTTGACCGATCCCGACAGGTATGCGCTCCAGATGACCGACATGGCCGAGACGAAGAGCACCCGCAGATCCACAGGGACAAAGGAATAGTTGATGACAGCCGCCAGGGGCCATATCGTGTACTGCATCTGCACGCCAACCACACACAAAGTCAGTCAGTCAGCACAATGGGCGAATGGGCGGAGTGCCCATCCATCCATCCATCCATTCGTTGCGACGTACCTTCATCATCGGCACATATTCCGTCTTGAGCAGCTCGGTGGTCTCGTTGACGGCATCGGTGACACCCTGGGAGACCGACCTCAGCGAGAGGGCGGTCTTGGCGTCACTGTCGCCCCTCAGAACCCCACGCGCACCGGCAACACCCACGCCGATCAGCTTGTAGGCGTAATACGCGCTGAAACACACACATACGCAGACGCAACGCATCCACTACCCTCTGTGTGCTTGCGTGTGTGTGTGTGTGTGTGTCGGCTCACACGCCGTTCATTATAGGGGCGAGGACAGTTTGGTCGATCCCCACGGATGCGATGGTCTTGCCCACCTTGGGCAACCCTTTCACCCCGGGCTGCCGTATCAACCACTCCGGTATGAAGAACCAGAAGTGCAGAACGGGACCCACGTACAGCCCGCCCATCCTGCAGACACTCACAGAGATACGGATGGCTGCCCCTCAACGCGTGAGCATGAGAGTGTCTCTGTGTGCTCACAGGCTGTAGACGAGCAGCCTTTCCAGGTCCAGTGGCTTCGGCTCCCGGCCCTCGCTCTCGGCCTGTCTGCGCTCGATGTTCTGGCAGATGGCATTTCCCAGACCCGACACAAGTGCCGTGCTCCACACCTTCGTCACCAATGGCCGACTGCAAACACACACGAGAGACCGCCAGATCGAGATTGCCTCAAGGCCGTCTTACAGTTCCAGTTCTCTGCAGTAGGCCCCCCAGATCTTTGACAGAGGCGATGATGACTCGCTGGGAGACAACTCGGCAGCTGCGCACAAACATACAAGCAAACATGACCCAAACCATGCAGTGCGGGTGCTCCCGGTTTCCTGATCCCACTTGCAGCCTCCATCTGCGCTCCTGGCGGCCTGCCGCCGCCTCCACCAGTGCCGCTGGCGTGGGAACACGGCCGCCTCAGCACTGGAGAAGCGGCAAAAGACCGATAGGCCGATGGCCGTCTTGATTGGCTGAATCGTTGTAGGGCCCTCATGATGAAAGCGTTGGGACGTGAGGCTTTGGCGATGGGCTGCGCGGTGAGATGACTGTGTGCAGTGAGGGCGGAGATCAGGCAGAGGCGAGAGATGAATGGAACAGTTGATCTGAGCATCTCTTCCTGCAAGTGGGATGAGTAAGCGCCGCGATGGGGTCGCTGACACGCAAACCTTCTTTCTTTCCCCGCTAAGCTCGCAGAGCCTAGGACATTACGTGAAACTGGAAGAAGGGCGGTTTGATGATGATGACGCAACAGCGAAGAGGCACTCCGTCCGCTGCCACCCGGCCACCTTTGTCAGCCTTTCCGCGGGATGAACATAGCATCTTGAATCGCCGCTGCTCACTCACACGCCAGATGCGCCTCCTCATCTGCTTCGTCCTCGGCTCTCTATCTCTTGTGATCTGCTCATCTGCGAGGAGCGCCCTGCCGCGGAGGAGATGGTCAAGGGCAGCATCCTCGCCCTCATCCTTCCTTTCCCCTCCCCTCCCATCGCTCTCAGCGTTCTCATCGTCTTCAGCTGGCTCTCAGGCTGACAGGCGGCGGCGGCCGACACGGCAGCCGCCTCACGCCAGCTTTAAGTTCTCAGATGAGGGGCTTGAGGACGACGAGAAGGAGGAGGGCAACCTGCTGGACGAGCTCATGTCGCAATCTCAGCCAGTGCGGTGGGACCTGCCCCTGGCTGGTGCACACGGAGGCGACAACAACACGGTGTTCGGAGGGTCTTTCGCGGGCAAGGCGGCTGGCGAGTTTGACCTCCCTCTTTCCCTCGAGGATTCTGAAAATGAGTTCTTTCGGCAGATCGCTCAGTGGAGCCCTCGGGATCTCACGCAGAGCTTCATGGCGGGGGCGTCGCCGCAGGCCAAGGAGGTCGCCATCTCGACTGTCCGTGGCTTTCTGGGGACCATCCCAAAGTTCTCACTCGAGACGACAGTCTTGACGACGGGCGAGAGGCTGGCGGCCCTCATCTGGCAGGTGTGCATGGCCGGCTACATCCTCAAGCATGCCGAGTACCGTTATCGCCTGTCTGGAGCAATGGAGGAGGCCGACGTCGCCGAGGGCAGGCCAAAGGCCAAAGCGCAGAAAAAGAAAGGGCCTTCATCTTCGGGCAAGAAGAAGGGGGGAGGCAAGGAGCCAGCCAGCGAGGCCACTGGGACCATCAGTCTCACCACTTCCGACGGGCGGACGGTCGAGGCAGATGTGTCCGAGTACGTGAGGGAGCTGGAGGCCGAGCGCGATGCCCTCAAGCAGCGTCTGTCCCGGCTGTCGCGGCGGATAGATCGGCAGCGGGAGCTGAGCAAGGCCGACGAGGAGGGTCGGGTGGTGATGAGGCGATCGGGTGAGTACGGCAAGGGCAGCGAGGCGGCCGAGCTGATGGCCTACATGAAGATGTATCTCAAGCGGCGCTCCGCAGAGGTCACAAACCTCCCAGACGACCTTGTAGAAGCCATCAAACAGGTGATGACATGCAAACACTCACACACACGTGTCGCAGGGATGCGCCAAGTCGCCTCATGTTTGTGTGTGTGTGTGTTTTGAATGGCCAGCTGACCAAGTCTGTCCTGTTGGGGATGGGAGGGGCTCGGTCTCGCGACGCACGGGCCGAGACGATCCTGCAGCAGACGGGCACCAGCCTGGCCCAGCTGTGCCTGTGGCAGATCGCCATCGGCTACAAACTGAGAGAACTCGAGATGAACCAGGAGCTCCGGCAGCCGAGGGACTGAGAGAGTGACGCAGCAGGGAGGGGGAGAGAGGGAGGGAGGGAGAGAGGGGGGGACAGTGTCAACGTCGTCAGTCAGTGAGTCAGTCAGGCCGGGCCTCCTCATACAGGATGGCAAACAAGATTCAGAGGGGGAGGGTGGGGCAGGGTGGTTCTTGGCGCCTTCACGCAACGCAGTCAGCAGGACCGACAGACGGACACACGAGAGGAGAGAGGAGGCGGAGGGGGGAGGGCATCTGCCCAGTTTTGTACTTCGCCGTCTGGCTGGCTGGCTGGCTGGCTGGCTGCCGATTGACGTTCGTGATGCGAGCGAGCGAGAGCCAGTGAGAGTGAGAGAGGGTGGGGGCGACTCCACCGCCCTCTTTTTCCCTTGTACCCTACCTGCCTATTCTCGACCGCTTCCCTAGTCTCCCCATCTCCTCTCTGCCTTCTCTGCGGCTTCCTTCTTGTGGGCTGATGGTGATTGTGACATACAGGAGTTCGATCAGTGAGTGAGGCCGTGTCGTGTGCGTAAGGATGGACGAACGAATGCCCACTGGGTGGGTATTTTTGTGTGTAATCTATCTATCCCTCTCGCTGTCTATCTGTCTGGATATCTGTGTCGATGACGAGTGTTTGCAGGCAAGACAATGACCCCTCCTTAAGTGCGAGTCACTGATGCGCACATAGGACATGAAGTTTCTCGTCTGGTCCATCCACACATAAAGCGATGACACAGCCTCAACGACCGAAATCCACAGAGCATCCATCGACACACCACACACATCCACACAGCTACCCCCAGCCAGTCTAAGAGACCTTGTGCCGTGTCCTGGGTGCCTCATCGCTGGCCAGAGTGAGGCCGCCCTTCCGCCTGTACTTCCTCCTGATGCCCTTGTACATGCGAGCAGTGGTCGGCGGCCGCACATTCTCCCCCCTCTTGACCGGAATCGACTGCGTGGTCAGCGGATTGGCTATCGGCAGCCCCAGCGACGCGGCAATCTCCAGCCTCCCCTCCGCTCCTTCCCCTCTCCCGTCCGTCAGCCTCTCTTCTGCTGTCTCTTGGCTGCTTCCGGCCTGCCTGATGGGCCCCTGGCCGGGCTGGTGCACCGGTGCAGGTGGGTCTCGCAGGGTGAGTAGCATGACGATTTGGAAGTGCGTCGTGTGGGGGTAGATGTCGATGGGCTGCACACGCTCGATCTGATAGCCCATGAGGATCAAGTGCTGCGCGTCACGGATGGCCCGACGGGGGCTGTTGGACACGTACACCACCTTCTTGACCACAAGAGAGCGGAGCCATCGCCTAAATACCTGTGTTCACAACACACACACACGTGCCCTGACGTATGTATGCAATGCCCGCGTCTGTGCGTGTCCGTGTGTGTGCGCGCGTCACCTTGTGGCATCCGTCCTTTGGAGGGTCGAGTACGAGGATGTCTGGAGGCGGGATGGTGTAGTGGCCTCCCCTTCGTGGCTGCCCCACCGCATCCTCCTCCTCCCGGCGGCCCATGGTGACCTCGCTGCTGTCGTCTCCCTCCTCCTCAATGTCACCCTCACTCTCATCCTCAAACAGCTCATCGTCCGCTTCGCTCGCCACCGCCTCCACCGAGTCATCCGCTGACTCGTCATCGGGCGCCTCCAGCAGACGGTCGTCGCTCGTGCCTGCAGCCATTCATGGCCGGCCAAGGAAGAAAATGAAAAGGTGCAGGTGTCTCGTGCAGGGTGGGTTAGTCCGTGGCCTGGTGGGGTGGCTGGGCGACCTGTTGCAGGGACGAGCTCGTCTTCCTCTTTGCGCTCACTGATGGCCACGTCAGCCTCGGCGAGGTACCTGCTGGCTCCCTCGCTGTCGGCCAGGTACACATTGGGGGTCAACTTGGGCTTCTTGTCTGACAAGCCAAGCACAACACAACACACATACAAGGCGCGAGTCCGTGTCAGGACCTCCTTTTCCTTCCATTCCATTCCATTCTCCCTTTCTCCTCACCCTTCCTCAGCCCCTCGGTGGTGTGTGCGTCGAAATCGGTGAGGTCTGGCCCCACGAGTGGGTCGCTGATGTTGAGCACCCGCATGGCGGCCTCCCTCTGCGCCCGCATGACCTCGTCCTCCTCCTCTTTGGCCAGCAGCTTGAGGGCCTTGAGCTGCATCTCCACGTGGTACTGTGGGTCGCTCGGAGTGTCCCACTCTAACCGAGGAGGCGGGGAGGGGGGGAGGTCGGCGTCAGTGTCACTCGATGGTGTGTCGGTGTCAGCGGGTTGGGGCTGGGGCGGGGGCAGGTTGAGGAAGGGGGAAGGGCCCATCTGCGTTCAAAGCATCACATACGTGTGCAGCGGGTGTCGAGGGTGGCTGTGTGTGTCTTGCTTGACTCACTTCGTTTCGTTCGATGACGCGTGACGTCTTGGTGCCGGCCAGCCATGCGTTCCTGACTCGCTCGTTGATGGACTCGATGACATCGGGGTCCACCTGCTCGATCGCCCACCGACGGACGTGCAGCGCCAGCTGACGCAATGTGAACCTTAACACACAGCACACACACACACACGGGGAACGGAGAACTGGTGCAATGAATGCGATGCCGATGGTGTGGGCCTAGGTGGCTGGCTGGCCGACCTGTTGCTGAGGTTTGCGAGTACGAGTCGCATCTTATTCGGCGGGACGTTGTTGAGCTTCATGTTCTCGCGGCACTCCTTCATGTTCTGCGGCGCCCAATCCACACCCACCACCTACAGACACACACACAGGAGCGTCCACGCGTCGACTCGTGCGCTGTGTGTGGACTGGCTCACGTGTCTGCATCGTTTGGTGAAGAGGATGCCGAGCATGCCCGAGCCGCAGTAAGCATCCCACACGACGTCATCCGGCGAGGGGTCGGCCATCTCAAGCACCACCTCACACAGCCGGTCCACCAGCAACATGTTCGTGTGGAAGAACGAAGAACCTACACAGAGGAACACACACAGATCCATCCCCCCGCCCACACAGCACAGCCATCGGTGCAGTGCACCTGTCCGCCTACCGGTGATGCGGAAGACCTGTTGGCCCATGACCCGCTGCAGGATGTAGTTGCGGCCATACAGGAGCTGCTCGTCGCGGCCGTACTGCCCCTGCCCCAGCACGCCCTCGGTGTGCACCTCGCCCCACCTGGTCCGCGACACATTGGCCACCACGCCCACCACCTGCGGCACCTTGGCGCTCAGGAGGTCCACCAGAGGCAGCAGCCGCTCCGCATCCACAGGGCTGCCCGTCACCACATTGACCAGGATCTCTGTCTTGCCGTCCAGATTGGCTAATAGGATAGATGACAGGAGAAGAGAAGATGCGCTCGCGAGGGCGTGGGTGTGGTGGCTCACTAGCGTATCTGAGGGTGAGGTTCTTGAGGATGCCCAGGCCCGTGCGGAGTGAGTAGATGGTCATGCCGTCATTCGCCAAGAGCTCCCGAAACGCCTCCTTGCACACCTCATACGTCTCCTGAACTGACAACCACACACATATATACACACACACACACACATATATATATATATATACACGACAACAGGCCATCCCCCGCGGCCCTCTTCCCGCCCTACTTGCAGAGGGCGCCAGGAGGCACTCGTCGATGGGCAGCACGGAGGGCGCCTGCCGATGGAAGAGGCCTATCATCGGCACATTGCGGTGTTGAAACGCGAAATCAAGCTTGTTCCGAAACCTGCACATCCATCCAATCACAATCACACAGCAAACAGGAGAGGTAGGTGGACAGGCGCCTTAATGGTCATGGTCATGTGAGGTGGTACCGACCTGAATGGCTTCGGTGACCGAATGAAGGTGTGCAGGAGGCATGGCGTCACGTCACGACGCCTGCCGCCTGACAGAGGCCGCCTCTCCACCTTGCCACTGTACACTGCACCACCGCCCACCTCCGTCACCTCTCCTCCCCCTGACCCCATCTCCAACAGAGCGTTCTCGCCACTTGACGGAGCACCGATCTGCAGCGGCCGATCGCCCTCGGGCAGTGCGGCCCACTCGCCGCCCGTGATGTGCTGCTGTGAATGCGCCGGTGGCGCGTCGATGAGGAGGGCCTGGTTGGTCTCTCCCTCGACGTAGAGGCCCTTCTTCCTCTTGCCTGTGGGGACGTCCTCAATGTAGGGCATGTTGTAGTCGCGGAAAAGCTCCTTGAGGAGGGTGGTCTTCTGCTCGATCTGCTTGTCGTATCTGTAGTGCTGGAACGCACACCCGCCGCAGTTCTGCACACACACACACATATACACACACACAGAGCGATGGATGTACCGCACCAAACAGGACGATGAAGAGCCCACATGACTGACTGACGTACCTGGAGGAAGTGCGGGCAGGGTATCTCGACCTCGTCCTCACTCCGCTGGGTGGTGCCGATGAGGGAAATGTCGTAGTCCTTCCAGTGCCTCTTGCGCGCATCGTCCACCCGCAGCGCCAGCTTCTCGCCGGGCAGCGCACGGGGAAAGGCGAAGTCATGGTCCATGCGGAACTGCCGCACGGCCAGCCGCACCACGCCGTTGCCGTACCAGTCGATGTGCCGCACTGTCATCCCATACAAGACGTCGCCCGGGTCCAGCCGCTTCACCACGTTGGCCCTCTCATCGCCGGCATAGTTGTATTCCTTTCGCGTGGAGCTGTTGGTGTGGCCGGGCATCTTCATGATCTTTGGCGAGCTGCGGTGGTGAGCGAAGGAGCGCGACGGCGGCCTATCGCAGGGGCGGGGAGGGCGCGGGAGGGATGACAGGCGGGAGGCGGGCTGACGAATCATCGCATCGCAGGGCCTCGTTCAGCAAAGGGGACTCTCAGGAGATCTGCTGCTCTTCAAATAACCTCTGCATCTTCCCAGATCCGTTCATCCCCTCTCACTGCCTGAGCCTTTAAGCTCGCGTAGGAAATCTCTCTTGTGGTTGACTTACACGGAAGCATGGGCGACCAGCACGTCTGATCTAGAGTCGGTACGGATTTGCACACACGCAAAGACACAAACAATCGCAGAAAGACATGCGCACCATACGACATGGATGATAGCAGCAGTCTGACATAAACCAAACAGCCCATCAAACGCAATCACACAAGCGACTATCACATGCCCTACAAAACCACCATGCAACCCAAGCCCGACCCATAACAACACGTCCCCAAATCAATCCCTCACGGCCGGTCCTGACGGCAAACGAGCGGGTCTGTGCCCTGTAGGGCCCTCGAGAGATGAGGTCCTCAGGAAGCAGACCCGCCCGCTGCTGTGTCCGAGCATCGGCCGCATGGTGAGCGCGGCAGGACACTTGAAAAGCATTCCAGCGCATCAGCGCGACCGACAAACACTGCCCCAATGGTTCATGACACCCTCATGAAAAAATGCACGGTCTTCTGCAGAGCTGGCGGGTGGGAGGACGCGCCGCTGCGCCAGACGGCGAAGCAGAGTGAGGGTCTCGCCACCCCAACGGCCGAATGTCTCCGCTGCTAGGGGCACGAAGGTGTAGCCTTTCTGCCGACAGTTGGCACCGTACTTGCGATCTTTGTCGCGCTCCGCCCCTGCAGCTGCAAAACCGCCCGGCCGACGTGCGTTGCTGCGGTTGACCTGGGTGTGGTGGGCGGTTGAGTTCTCGGGCCGACACGGATGGACCACCGTGATGTCGCACAGGACACCTTCGCCGTTGATGGAGAAGAAGAGGTCCATGCGCTGACTGTTGGGCTGGGCGTTTGGGGGGGTGATGTTGAGAGACCGCAGGGGCACTTCGGTGACAGCCGTGATGCCCACCTCCGCAAGGATTGCCTTAAAGACGTCCAGCAGGGTGTTGTGCTTGAACACGCGCTCCGCCGTCGCGCGGCTGCAGAGGAAGAAGTGGTCGCCTAGGGTGTCGATGCCCGCTCCACACGGGCATGACGGTGCGAGGCTGGCGAGGGGGAAAGTGATGCCGAGGGTGAGGGCCGTAGCGAGGCGGTAGGCGTAGTTGTTCAGGCACTTGCGCTTGTCACCTCGGGTATAGCGGGGATGGCCGACAGCCAGCCAGACGAGAGAGGCCCCAGGCAGGAGAGAAGGTGGCATCGATCACGGCTGCCAGCTGGGAAAGACTCGAAGAGGGTGTCGAAGTCCTTCTGCGCAAGGGCGGCAGAGATCTTCTGCTGCAGCCGGGCTTGCGGGCGTGCGATGAGTTGCGCGATAGGGGGGATGGCGACAGAGGGGAGGGATGCGGAGAAATCGATGCGGGCGGATGCCGCCGAGACGAGCCATTCCAGCTGGAGAAGAGAGGCTTCTGACTCGGGCATTCAGGGTTGCCCATGGAAACGATCCCACACATCCCCCACGGTGACGGCCACGGACCCCAAATAAGCACCCGCACGCTGTGCGCGTC